AAGGGGGTTTAGGTTGAAAATACTTGCTCTGAAGAAAAACAGCAGACAATTCAGGTACTGATTCAGTGGATGGATTTAGTCCTTCATGCTCATCCTCTCCAATGATTTTGGAGAGAATCTAAAGAGCCAGTTGAATGGCTACATATAAAGCATTTATGGAGGAATAATTTGGCTAAATTCCTTTTAATCTATCAGCCAGAAAAGCTGTTTAAACTTCACTCATATTATAGATGATGGGACTATATCCATGCAAAACAAATTTACAGAGAAGCACAGAGTAGGATACAATTGTCTAAACTGCCTTTGAAAGATTTCCTAGGGCTCAGTTCTTCACATCCCCTTTTCTAGGGGAATATGGATCTACTTTTGGTTAACACAATGTAGTGGTTTACTATTGAGGACTTCCTCTCAGCAGACTCCTCCTGTTTGGTCCATGTTTAATGCAGGGGCACTTCAGTAAACGAATAATGAAACACCAAAACTAAAATATGCCCTTTGTCCTGACAATCCTCACTTTTGTCACTCTCTATAGCTACTTTGGAAAAAATAAAATACGTTGTTTGGGTACAATTGTTTGGGGTTTGCACATTCAAACAAAAGATGGGAAAGAATCTGAGAAGTTGATAACATTAAGTCTCAAATAGCAGACTTTCACTAAGTTTTATGTTACTGCCTCAGCAAAATTCATCTATCTATGGATCTCTTAAGGCTTGATTTCCCTGTATGGAGGAATTACTTCCCTCCATGTGAAATAAGTGGGGAAAACTGCAATGAGAGCTTTTGGAGGACAAGAACAACTACATTAAGCTCTCTGAAACAGTTAAACTATTTAAAAACCTACTAGCAAACATTACTAGAATAATTTAATACTCAACTGACTTTGGTAAAAATAGTAATAGTAATAGCCACAGTAATAGGTCCTCTATAAAAAGCAGGGAAGAGACACAGGATACATCCACTTTTAGAGATAAACTAAAATCAAAACTTTTTTGAGGTTTTTAATTGTGCATGTCAGGGCAGGGCTGGAAAGAGAGGGATCACCTCTATATTCAAACTCAAACTAAGAGTGTCCAGATGCAGCAAAACAACCCTATTCTTTTTCAGCGTCAGGCAATAGTGAAATGAGAAGTCTCCAGAAAAACCATGCTCTCATTGCCATTTCACTCAGTTTTACATAGTTTTGAGGTCTGAATAATTTGGACAAGCATCTGATTTTTGGAGGCTGGTCCAGACCTTGTTCAAACACCACTTCTCTGGAGATTCACTTGTCCTAAAAAGGTTTAATACAAGCTAATGAAAACAAGCAAAAAATTAGCCATTAGGAAAATTAGGACCTGATTCCTTGGGACCTGATTAGGACAGCTTCCTAGCTTCGGCCTTACTTATTTCAGTTATGGTCTCTGCAGACCTGGAAAAAAATGGCTTACAGAGAAAGGAGAACCATATTCCCTGGGTGATCATTTAATTTTTCCAAAATGTGTGTAAAATGGATGTGAGGAAGGGGAGAATATGAATTTGGTAACCCTCCTCATTTGCAGATGTGTAAACTGCTACTCAAGGGACTAAACACACTTCCATACCCAAAATAAACTTCCTATTATAGAAATAACTTACACTAGTTGTGGCCAGTGGAGGAAAAAACACCAATGTGCTTTGGCTTTGAACATACACTGAACGTACATGTACTGAACACAAGCATGTTAACGGATTCTCAGTTTTAACAATAATCACCAAATTTAGTTTTTTGCTGTTGTACATCTCATTTGGGCAAGCAGGTTTGTTTTGTTTACTTTAACAAAATCAGATGAATTGTTTAGGGTTTGTTAGGACTTTCACCTAGAGAAATTTAAAAAGAAGGCAGCTTTCATCCCAGAATAAATTGAAGAGAAAATTGTTTCTGTCCTTTGCCATCAGGTTTCACAGGCTGAGAGTGTTAGGGAAGAGAAAAGACCATCATCTAGCTCAGTTGTTCCCAGACTTTTTCCAGTAGCAACAGAAGGATAATTTTATGCCTCTCAAAATATGAGGGTGAACGTCAGAGGTAATGGGATTTTTGTCACACTGGCAGCTTGCTGTGTCCTTGTGTGGGATTATGGCCCTGGTCTGGGAGCCACTGACCAAGGCGCTGGACTATACAACCAGCCATTAGCACAGCTGGACTCCATTCTTGGCTGTCCCATAGACTCACTCTGTGAGCTTGGACAAATCACTTAGGTCTATAGAGCACAACACAAACCTTTACTGGGTTTCTAGGCTAACGCTGAGCAGGATAGTTCCTGAGTTAGAAGGAATACAGCAGCCATCGGGCTAAAAAGAACAGGTATAGCATCTTACTGATTCAGCTCCTGGCAACAGTGCAGGAGCTGCTAGGTACTATCTAGACATACCAGATACTTGCATATCTCCAAGTGCTCTCTGGTGTTTCATGCGGTCCTGCCTTAAATTTCCAGGCTTACATTTCCTCATCTGTAAACTGCAGGTATCAATACTTAGCTAGACCTGAGATGGATTCTGTAAGATCTAATTTATTGACATTTGCTAAGTGTTTCAAGAGCTTCCCCTGAAACGTGCCACAGAAAGATGCAATCAAAAGCAATTTGGGTATTCTGAAGAATAAATAAATGAGTGATCCCCAAATGCTAGATTAGTACGGCAGAGCATTAAGATAATAGGAAAAGATAGAGCTCTGACCAGCTTCTATGGGAGGGGAAAGGATTCTGCAGTACATGCAGCTGAATGGGGTGCCCGTCTACCAGCCCCAGTGTGCAGCAGGCTCTCTAGCCACCACTAAGAAGGTGTTGAAATGCTATATTGAGATTAGACTAATAACCCAAGATTCACTTGTGCAAAAGATGCTTTATGACTTACCACATTTTACCCCAAGCAATCCTCCACCCCTTTTTTTGGAAGCCCAAATTGTTGAAGACACCTGGTCTGTCAGAGCCCATTGCCAGACTCTGATAAGAAGTGACATAGGTTTGACTCAAGATTTCTAAGCACCATGTAAGTGTTCCCATTGTGCTTTGATGCTGGGCTTAGCATCAGAATATTTAATACTTTTTTTAATATGTAATTTTTCAAATGTCAGAATGTAAAGCAGCCTGAAAGGAACTTCAAAAATCCAGTTCCTACACTACTGGAGTCAAATGTGTGCCACCTTTTAGCAAGATGTGCCATTTTTTGCACGCACTAAGCCACAAAATGCCAATTAAATACCTAAAAAATAGTCTAAGTGCTATTTCACAGCTGATGGCTGGTGATAATGACTTAGGCTTAATATTTACCCTACATTAGAAATCATCTAACCTTTCTTTGTCTTGGCTATTCTCCACACTTGTTACAGAGACTTGATGAGCTCATCATCTTTAGTCCCAGGCAAGATGAAGGCTAAACTGTTCTGAAACAAGGAAAGGAAAGGGTTTTTTTGTTTTTGTTTTTCGTTAAAAGCAGCTAACTTCTGATTTTGGTAGCTTTTCAAAATGTCCTGTCACTTTTATTCCACATTCTTAATGCTTAAGTAGCACAGGTAAAGCTGCTTGGTAAATAACCAATCATTTGCTAAAGCACACCAATTTAAAATGCATTTATGGAAGGTTTAAGGCCATAATTTATGATAATGGCATGGGAGAGTGCAAATTAATTCAAAGTACATAGGAAACTACTTGTTTCAAGTACAAAGTCTGAGCATTTTTATTTTTTTGTCTTTGAAACGCTAACCACTGTATTTGCAGATAAGCAAAAAAGTCATATTATTCTGGTAGTTAATCCTCCTTAATTCACTTTAATCGTTTACTGTATTTTGAGCAAACACAGCATTGTTATTTTAGAATTATAAAAAGTATCCAAGTAACTCAGGAGCTCAAAGTCACAGACCTTCAATAGATCTTATCCTCCCATTTCACTTTGGGCCAAAAACTCAAAAAGGGAATGGGCACGAAGTGTGACTTCAGGGGAATTTAGACACCTATGTCAAAAATCGTTATCCAGTCACCTGTTCTCCATTTGTTAGCAGAATCCAAGATTTATTGTGTCAGAGGCATTCCACAACTTTGCACTGTAGTGACTAGAGCCCCTGTCCATGAGGAGGGAGTCTAAACATTAGCATAAACACCATATACAAATGGCTTTTATGTCTGTAATGCACTTTATGGAGTCAACAGACAAAATACAGAAACAGCCTTGAGGCTTAAGCAAGATCTGGGGCCTCATGTTTCCCATCCTTGCCTTGTATAGTTACTTATCTGGAAACATCTTCAGCCCCTCCAAGCCCTAAAAGCATCTTGGTTCCCCTCTGTAAGTGACAAACATACATTCCTGACCGTTTCTGCCAGATTACGGTAGGGTACACAGTCCCACATGGAGTTCTTTGCAACTGGGCCCAGACACGACTTGGCAATAGTTAACCTAACTATAACTCCTCCCCAAACCAGTCAGAACTTGGTTTAACAAAATCTAGAAGAAACAGAGCAGCAAGGACAATGAGTATAACCCTCGGTACCATAACTAATTCCTATTCAAGCTGCAAGAAACACATCATGGAGCTAAACTACCTCAAAGAGTCTGGGGCAGAAGCACAAAAGAGATAAAATACAGATTTATGTCCATAACTACATGTGAATTTTCCAAAATTCTGGGATATTAATTCTGGCCCTTCTCTAGGTGCGGTATGAATAACCTGCGCAGCGGAACAGGTCCCTTAAGATAGAATACAGACACTTCTTATCTTTGTCTTTGGCATAATGTTATATCACTAATATGCCAATATTTAATCCTGTTATGATTATTTTAGAGCTGGCTAAACCACAGAAAGGATTATGCATTTACCACATGCATTATTTACCACATTTTACCAGTATTTCTCTGAGTGTTTTCAAGAGTGTTACCCATTTGCTGCTACAATTATATTTATACTTTATTCCATATAAAATAGCAGAGTTCTTCACATAACTTATTCACATGCAGCATTCAGCTAGGTTTGTTTTCACTAGTCAGAAATTATCCCTGCTTTTATACTTATTTACTATTACTCATATATTGTTGCAGCAGCATGTAGAGGCCACACAAGAGATCCTCAATATATTAGGTGCTCTTCTAACGTATCAGCACAACATGTATGTTGTACAAGGTTTACACTAAAAACAACTTAGCATCAGATAATGACGTATTTCCACAACCTAAGTGATTCTTTCATGTTTTCTTGCAGTTAGCAAGCCCACCTGCTGATACCTGCTGTGAGCAGAATATTGCATTCTAGTCCAGAGACAGTAAAACCCAGTCTTCTTTGGAGTTCCTTTTTTCCATGTCTCTCTTATGCAGCCAGGTGTCATCTGCTTGGCACAAAAATGTTTTTGTTTTCTGTGTGATCCTTCAGAACATAGCTGTGAACACCAGCTCAGTCGAGAGAGTGGCTAATGGAGAAGGCACTGCTGGAGAGGACACAGCAGCCAGCAAGGAAGAAGAAAACAAAACAGGATTTGTTAAGTTCGGATGGGTGAAGGGTGTGCTGGTGAGAAAATTATCTGCATTTTAAAAACAATTAAAAGAAAATAAAAATTAAGAAAAGTTTTGCAGTACTAAGGTCTTTTAAGAGGCAAGGGAGGAAAGAGGGCTGTTTGGGGTGCTTTTTAAAAGCCTGCAATGCACATTATCACCCTTCTGATTGTTAATCCTATTTTCAATGTTATATTGATACAGTATCGTTTGTTTAAAACTTAGGTAAGATGCATGCTCAATATCTGGGGCGTGATGCTTTTTATTCGACTTTCCTGGATCGTAGGTCAAGCAGGAATTGGTAAGTATCTTATTTAATATAATTGTTAACAACGAAAGGCATAAAGAGGATAAACTATACATGATCACAATTAATATATAATCTGAGATGCACACTTGCATGTTTTAACAAAATTATGTTTTTCAAATGTTTGCCAGGGTAAAAGATGTTACTCCTCCAAGCTACTGGAATTTTCCAGACTTCCAGCCAAATTACTGCTTAGAGGCATAGATCTGTTAACTATGCATACAATCATCACATTTGAATATTTCTAAGCTTTGGTGAAATTTGTATTTAGATTCCATAACAGATGTAAACTTCGTGACTCGGGCCAATTTCTAAGATGGGTGTACAGAGTTAACCTTTATTAGGAGTTCACACTTTGCTTATCTGTGAATCCCAATCCCTGTCATCTACATATTGAAAACAACACTTTTTCACACTTCTCTGCAAAAATGAAAACAGAACCGGAGGAAGGTCTCATCTCATCAGGACTTTGTTATTTTTACCTGCAGTACAGCGCTAGCTACTAGCATACTATGAAACACCAAGTTATTAAAACTCTGTTATGGCTTTCATGTAAATTAACTAAGTACATTTCATAGCGCTGTATCTTTGCTTTTTCACTATGCCTGTTAATTATTCCAACTCCCAATGAAATCAATGTAAAAACTCATAAACCTCAGTGGCAGCTGGATTGGGCTCCAAGGCCTCTACTCAGCCTGTTGTCAAGTGTTCAACAAAACCGTGAGAGCTCACAAAATCAGTGCTCACAACACTGCAAGACAGAAACACTACTAGAAGGTACAGCATTTCAACAGTTGTTGTGCGGTGCAATTACTTTTTCAGGGAAACAGAAATGTCAATGGCAGCGTCACTCTGTGTTACACGTTTGTAAGCGCCTAGAATGAGAGGGCCCTAATCTTTGACTGGCACCTGGACATGCTAGTGTCATAAAAAGTGTTTGTAAGCGCCTAGAATGAGAGGGCCTAGAATGAGAATCTTTGACTGGCACGTGGACATGCTAGTGTCATAAAAAGCGGCAATTCAAAGGGCTGATGGCAAGCATTTCAGTTTGTACTCTCACAGAATGGAAATTTTAAGTAGGCATGAGGTGGACTTCAGACCCTGGCCCTCTGGGCCTCAACTCTCCTGATTTTGGATAAAACTCAGTGCTGAAATTTGGATTGAACGTTAAGTATCATCCACTTCCTTGTTACTGGCCGAAAAGAAACACTGAATGGAACTATCTCCAAAATTGTGTGTGCTTGAAATCTCATTTCCAGCAAAACGTGGTGACTTCACAGAAGTTTTGCTTGAGTGAGACTAAGCCTTAAAAAAAAGAAGCAAATGAAAATGCTCATTAAGAAAAAAGCCACCCAAAAGAGAGAGATAGAGGTGGAAAAAACAGAAAAGTTCCTGAACTAAGCGGAAGAACTCTGCCTGCTTTTGCAGTGCTCCATGTGTGGCTTTAGCTCTGTGCCTGACAAAGGGGTGCTTGCTGATTTTATGATGCATACCAAATGAGAGCGTACAGCCCAGGGCACTCATAAGTATATGCCTTGCCATGAAAACTCTGCATCTTAATATTGCCAAGACTTTGCTCTGGGGTTTCATGCAAAATTAGTTTTTAAGGGCAGTTTAGTAACTTATTGAGATCATCAAGAAGTATTACTTTGTTTTGAAGTGTGAGAACAGCCATAGGCAAGAGTAATTCATTTTAGCACAACTTACTTAGCAGCCATATGCCTGGGCTTCAATCTAAACTTTAATCAGATTCTAACATTAATTTGCACCAACATCAGTTACAGCCATTCTGCTTTCACATTTAATTCTACCATTTTAATTCATTGATAAGCAGGTCCTCCTTTCTCAAGGTTTATTGCTCTGCTGCTGCTTTTTAAAACGTCTTATGTAGGCGGGTTAGTTTTACTTCCGAAATGAGAAATCAAATTCAGTTTGAATAATCTCCAACGGTGTTTTCTGAATGTCTTGTAAGCAATGAGCATTATGTCCCTAGCCAAGCTGCTTAAGGAGAACAGTAACAGAAGCTCAACAGCACCAAGGCTTGGGGATTTCACTGGGTACTGCTACTAACATGCAAGTAAAACGAGTCAGTTAAGCCACCAGCTAGGCACCATTTATATCCCCATCATTAGAAGGCCAAAGAGGGAAAATCCTGTTATTTTCATTTCCTGATAGGCTGTCTTGGGTACAAGCTATTACAGGGGAAAAAAAATCGTATTCCAACAAGGTCTCCTGTTCATCCTCAGCTGCGGAAAAAAGGGGCGGTTGACAAGGTTCCAGGTCCAAAACCAGTCTGGTATTTCCACCTAACATTTGGGGACTCTTCAAAGCCTGTATATGTACCTATACCTGGAATGCTTAGCCAAAGGCAGGTAAAAAGACCAAGTTTATGCTAACTGAAAACCGGGCCCCAAATATTACAATTATCTTATATTACAATAATGTTTTAGTTGGGTTGCTTCATTTATTCACTTTTCTTACTGAATGTTACCACCATCTTTTTAAAATTAACAATAAAGCTTTTCCAAGCAGATATGAGTTATCAGATTAGCAAAATATCTGACCCTATTTAGCACATGCACTTTTGACAAAATGAATTATGAAATATAATAGAAAATCTAGGAAAAATACTTTAGAATGTACATGTATTTGCTCAATCATTTCAAAACTACTTCAAAAATAATGTGCCTGGTCTATTCAATGTAAAAGTTAACAGCTGATTAAAAGTCATATTCAGCCACCTCTTGGGCACAAAACTTGCACAGAGCTCAACAAGATCTTTCTATGAGGCATGTAATGGCACCTGACCATAAGGAATGACCATTCTGACTTTTTATACAAAACTGCATACAAAATAGGTGCATGACTTCTTATAATAAAAGCTCAGAAATCAATAGGATAAATGTAATTTATTAGAGGCTCCAATCACTTTAAATATCCTACACTGTGTTATATATCATTTATATCTCCTGCATTACATTGCTCTGTCTTAAAGGATTGTGATAACATGGCTGTAACTTAAGCGGCAAAGAACATTCATTCAGGGATTGGATGTCTATAATCATCCAGTACGAAATGAAGTCGGGAATCTGATCTGGGAGCCAGAAGGTAGAAATAGAGCAGATAAATCAATATGTTTTTAGTACCTGTAGCTAGTTGTCAGTTGTAGGATCCAAGTTTCAATTTGGATGAGCCCTGGTCAATAAAGATTGCTACAGGCAATGTACAATCTTCTGTTCCACACTGAAGACCTAATTACCTTGTGGGAACAAGAGAGCTATTGGAGCAAAAAATACTGAACTGGATAAGCGTTAGCAAGTTCTGATAAAGCTAAGAACTGATTCAATGTTTGGCATCAAACTGTATTTGTTTCATTTTGTTTTATTTATTTATTCCCTTCTCATAGCCATAAATGGGAATAGAACCAACGAAGTTGAGAGCAAATGTCTTATTATTTCTTCACCTGACTTGAAACAAGAAAGTATTCTGGATCTGAAGAGCCAAACTCTTCTCAGTATTGCCAGAGAATATAACAGAAGCAATGGTCAAAATTGCAGCTTGGGAGGTCTGGGTTGGACATGAAGGAAAAAGCTTTTTCATTGGGAAGGTAGTGCAGCCCTGGAATAGGTTACCCAAAGAGGCTATGGGATCTCTGTCCATGGAGGTTTTCAAGATTCAACTGCCCAAAGCCATCACTGATTTGATCTAGTGTTGGCGAAGTCCTGCTCTAAGTGGGAGGCTGAGCTACAGTCCTTCAGAGCCAACCAATGTTTCTATGATTCTATATCTTACAAGAAAACTCGTAGTCCTACAGTTTCTAGTACAGTTTCATAGAGTTAAAAGAAGCCTGACCATCTGGCCAAAGATTACAAACATACTCAAATTTTAGAGTCTCGTCCAAACAGAAACCCAGTTCATCTAGCAATACTGATCTTCAGATGCTTGATTATTCACGTTTAATTATACAGTTTTGTGATATCACTCAGAAAAAGACAGCTTCCTAAGATTATACATTACAGGTCACTTGTGAAAGTAAAACGGTATCTAAAAAGCAACACTTCTATTTTGGAATATTTGTCCTGCATTAGAGGGAAACTGCTTTTTGCAGGGAAAAGGCTGCAGTCGATAGCCTGGCAAGTAAGGATATAGAAGGCTCACATTCAAGTCTTGTCTCTCTACCTGATAGGGTAGAGTCTTTGTCCTAATGCACTATGAAACTATACAGTCAGTCTTTCACTTTCCAATTCAATATTTAGTCAACTGATGAAAGACAGATGCATCTGACAAACAAGAGTTCTGGTTAGTATGGTCAATCTCTTTTCTCTTAAACATCCAGGATGTATGTCTCAGGTAGGCATAAGTATCCATGCTAAGCAACACTTGTTTGCTCATTTCATTCAGCTAATGAAGAAAGACTTTGAAAAACATAACAGAGCTTCTGGCTAGGCTACTCCTATCAGAAAGCATCACTGCTTGAAGACTGATGAAAATAATTTACTACTGTGACATGGACTCACTGGAAACATTCTGCAGACTGCAAGTGGTCAACAAACCATCTTCCAGTTTACAGCTCTGATTCTGGCCTGAAAATTTAATTTAAAGAGAGAATGATTTGTAGGAATCATGAAACATGAGTAAAATATTTTATCTTCTTATTACTGACAGGTCTTGGAGTAATCATAATTCTTCTTGCCACGATGGTAACCTCAATTACTGGGTTGTCAACTTCTGCAATAGCAACTAATGGGTTTGTCCGTGGAGGTAAAATCTTTAGGGTTACTAATGCTTTCAAGCCCCAAAAGATTTTTATGTACTATTTTCATATGAGGCAACCAGAGGTCTTGATCTCTAAAATAGCAAGAAGGATGATAAACCAAACGGTACATCTAAAGGAACTAGAAGGTAACAATTCTAGCTAACCCTAATCACAATTTATGGCATGCTTGAGTTGTCACTTTTAATGAATCTCAGATTTCAGTTCAGTTTGTAAAGTACGTTTCAGATGTTCCTGCCTGATGCTGATTGAGGAATGGCTTCTGACTTTTCACAGAGTTCTTCTGTTCTTACCTTTCAGCAGGTCATTCTTATTCAGAACATTCCAGGTTGGATGTCCTTGGACAAACTGAATGCAAGGCATCTCTTCCTCTTATTTTAAAGACTGATGCAGACCAGTGGATATCATCTATCTAATACCTTCCTGCATAATTCTTTTTAAAACCTTTTACATTCCAGCTACTCCTTGGAAGATGAGTAAATATTTTTGCTAGAAAACCAACGTGCACGTCAGGTATTTTATGAAGAAAAATTTTAGTGCATTTCAGAGCCTTGACTGGTCTGGTATAACGGGTCTGTTCTAGCCTCTGTGGAAAACAGCAAGTTCTTACTACATCATTTAAGCAGAGCAGGTACTTGAATACACTTGAATACACTTTCTTTTTCGGATCTTTCAGGTCTCGGAGTCATAGTTATTGGTCTGAGTGTAGTAGTAACAACATTAACAGGTATCTCCATGTCTGCCATTTGCACCAATGGAGTAGTAAGAGGAGGTAAGTGAGCCTGACTTCATGAAAAGTACAAAAATCTGCAGAACTGAATTAGGGGAAAAAAAATGGGAATAGGGATAACTGTATTATAAGCAAAGCAAAAATAAATAAAAAATACTTGGGGAGATCTCTCTCACTAAGTCCACCATAAATTTAAATGTATATAATCTTCCTGACAATAAGTATTTCATCCCAGTAAGATAGGATGAAATAATAATTGACAAAATAACATTCTCCATTTATGGTGATATGCAAAATAAGATTAAAGATTCATTGCATTGCTCTGCAGAAGCTTTAACAAAATATAGTACCTTTTTTCAAACTAACATTGGGATGGATCCAGGTAAGGTTTTCCAAGTGAGGTTTTCTTTGCTACTGTTTCATGAATATTTGTTTAAAGATCCAGTTTTACACACTCGTACACAGTAAAAAGACTCCTGTAATAGAAAGACATTTGGAAAAGGTTCTGAAGGCAGAACCAATACAAAGCATGTTCCTTGCTTATCAGAGTTTGCTCTATTTGACCTTTTGCATTAATAAGGAAAATAGTGATTGTATTTATTAGGCACAAAGCAGAGATACCTCTGGCATTATTATGTGAGCAAAACAGGCAGCAACTAAGCATCTTAAATTGTGCTGAACCAAAATCATTTCTGTCTGCAGGTGGAGCTTACTATCTTATCTCAAGAAGTCTAGGCCCAGAGTTTGGTGGATCCATAGGACTTATCTTTGCCTTTGCAAACGCAGTGGCAGTTGCTATGTATGTAGTTGGATTTGCTGAAACAGTGGTAGAGCTTCTTAAGGTAAATGTAGATATTTGCTGTTTATGGTTAAACTGGGGATTATTTTTATACTTGTTTAAACCATGACACTTTTTAGCTGAGGCTTAAGGGACATCTTTATTAGGGAAGCAGGCCTTTCTAAACGTGCCATAGAGCGCTTCTCCATTATTTCTACCTTATAGCAGTTTTTCAAACATTTCAACAAGACTTTCAAAATTATAAAAGGGAATAAACACCTAATTAGTCAGCCAAACAACCCCAACCACAAAGGGCTAACTGGAACATGAAATACAAACATTTGGGCTCACACGCCCCTGAAACCGAGCAAGTTCTGACAGCTCACTCCTTTCTATTCCACCTTGTTATCTGATCCCTCCAGCTGGGTCAAGAAAGACTGGTCCTAATATCATTTCTTACCCTTTTCAGGAGAGTGATACGATCATGGTAGATGAGTCCAATGACATCAGAATAATAGGCACGATAACTGTTGTATGTCTTCTCGGCATCTCTGTCGCTGGCATGGAATGGGAAGCAAAGGTAAAACTTTAAAAGAATATATAAGTAAGCAGTATATAGGACTGACTACTTTACAAGGTTTGTGTGTGAGGAACGCTATACAGCAGGTGGGATTTTCAAAACCACTCAGCTTCAGTTTACGCTTGATCTTTTTAAAAGCAGTAGCAGTTTAATCATTATATTCAATGAAAGCAGAATAACTCCATGGGCTTCCTTGAACATTCATTGAAGAGTGAAGGGGAAGTCAGTGTTCTGCAGACAGTTTGATTAAATTGATTTTTATAGCCCATGGCATCAATTAGAGCCTTGGGTAAATGCCCTTTTTGCCCTTATTTTTGGTAGAATAAACAGTAGTAAAAACTAGTCTTACCACTGTACTCTCTCAAACCCAACCCAACAAAAGGACAGCTCTATTTCCTAGTGATTCCTTAATCGCTAATGATTTCTGCTATTCCTTCAGCTGTACAAAAGTTCAAAACTCTATTATCCTATTGGAGAAAATACTTGCAAAATGAAGGACTGGAAATACTTTGGAGAATGGGATGTCAAAATCAGGTCCAGAAGAGCAATCTGATTTTTATATTCTGCTATGATGGAAACTGAGAACTGTTTGTAAAAGAGGTCAGAAAGCCAATTAGATATCATAACCCTTGAAGTGACATCCACTGCAACTAAACAAACTATATAAGAATATAAAATGTCTCATATTTGATATTTATGCATTAGCTGTTTCATTTTCCCTTTTCCTGTAAAGGAAACTAACATGAAATTAAATAGTAACTATATATTTCATAAACTCTCTTAGCAAAAACTATTTGCTGTTGTCATGAGCTGACAGAAGTTTGTCTTTTCAGCTATCTTGATTCCTGGTGTTTTCTAGAACTGTAGAAATGTCATCTGTCGTAAGGAACACATGCAACTATATAACCATCTCCACAATCATTGCAAAATCTTTCTGTTTTTATTAACAGGCTCAAGTTATTCTTCTAGTTGTTCTCCTTATTGCTATTGCAAACTTCTTCATTGGGACAGTCATTCCTACCAACAATGAAAAGAAGGCAAGAGGCTTTTTTAATTACCAAGGCAAGTACTGCTGTCTATCATAGAGTAATAAGCTCACATACTCCTTGGCCGCATACTAAGTTGAGGATTCCACTGAAAAAGGTCACAAGATCAGGATCTTCTGCCCAAGTTTAAACAACCTTGTAAACCACAGGAACCAAAGTCTTTTTTCACATCTGTTTCTGAGGGACTGAATTTATTCCATCCTTAATTTTGAGTTTGTCTCTGCTGCTGAAGCTGACAGCATGGCTTGCGGCAGCTTGAGTCATTTATATACTGGCAGAGCACAGGCAAACTTTTGCACAGAGCTATCGTGCTCTGTAAATGCTATAGTGACACTCCTGTCACTTCAATATGGACCCGCAGCTCTGATATGCAGACAAGCACATACTACTGCGGAGCAGACTGAGGAAATCAAATTCACTTTGCTTATGATACGAGACAGATTCAAACCCAGTCGTCCAGATGTGAAAGGCTAGCTTATTCACCTCCTTCATTAAGTAACTTTGGAACCAAATTGTGGTCATATGTTCCATCTTCACCTATATTTGCAGCATCAATATTTGCAGAAAACTTTGGACCAGCTTTCAGAGATGGAGAAGGATTTTTCTCGGTGTTTGCCATTTTCTTCCCAGCTGCCACTGGCATTCTCGCAGGAGCCAATATCTCAGGAGATCTAGAAGTATGTATTTCTTTAACTTTGTAATACTAGCTATAAGGTGAGAAAGAACAAGAAAACAAATTACAAATCAGCTCTGTATTCAGTAGTAAATCACGGCTAATTTTGCAATGCAAAGCAAAACTCTCACTTTTAAGTACCTGCTTTATTATTTAAAAACATCAGTTCACATTTTCTCTCTTAATGTATTATGACTATTTACACAAATTTCTGCATTCAGATTTTGGGTTGCTATATCAGTTAAAAGGATGTTTCGGTAACCTACAATAATGTAATATTAATCGTAGCAGCCTGCTACTTAGAGAAATTACCTGTGTAACTCCTGATGCTCTTCTTTTGCTAAATCTCCTGTATCATCCCAAAAAGGATACTTCCAAAACTCATGTTTGTGCTCACAAAAGAGTTTATGGAAGAATCAATGGAAATCAGCTTTTTTCTGTGCACGGTCACAGCAAGGGCCAAGTAAACAGAACATTTAATGAAAGCAAATATGTTCCAATACCCTGTCACTGCTGCTGCTCAAAGGAAAAGCTGCAGGTTTGCAGCTGTAACAAAAGAAAGGAGTCTGAGGAGAAAGGAAAGGGTTCCCAAATGTTTGGCTGTTGCCATGCTGTCAGGTGCCCATCTTGTAGTATAGCAGTTCTATGAGATGTTTCCAGTATCTAAGCAAACTGGTAAATCAGAGACAGGAGTTCAGTTTTAACTGAGTACCCCCTGGTTTTCCTGGTTTTGCACAGTGCATTTAATGCAAAGAGTGTTTAAAGCTAGATAGAAAGATGAACTAATTCAAAGTTCAGCAAAGCATTTGGTAAAACGTCTCTAGTAAATGTGGAGCAATGCAATACTTTGTGGTATAAGAAATTCAGAAATGCACTTGTGGTGGGCTGTGGGGCATCCCTAACTCCTCAGCTGTTGAAATCTAGTACTAAAAATCAAGTATGCTACCAAAAAGAAGTGGCTCACACCTTGACATCCCCAGCGTGTCAGATGAGGTTATCTGGCTTTATCATACAGGCTCATTGTATAGAAATATACCTTAAGAATTCAACCAAAGATCTTATATCTTTGTATTGGCACTGCAGTCACAAATTCATCAGGATCCTGCCAGCTCTCACAGCCAGTTTCATCCTTCTTCACACTGAGCTGTATGCTTGTCTCCTTTGCTTTCAGAGGACTGCTTTTGAATCCAAGCACAAAGAAATTTGTAGAAACTGGGCCACTAATTACATTTGTGATAGATTCCATTTTTAATTAAAAAAAGAAATATCATTGTTCTTTTACCCACTGAGACTGAACCTCCATCTCCATCCTTTTATCAAACAAAAGTGATTCTTTTGCCATATATGGAGCTCTATACAAATGGCAAGTTCCCACAGCAGCATTGCTTCTTTCATAAGCTATGTGAAAGAGTCTGAGTAGACCAAGGGAACTCTTTCTCCCATTGGCCCTGTATAGTTGTTTTGCTCTGGCAATAAGTAACCTTATGGCCAACTCCTCCAGGCTGCAGATTCCCTGCTGACCATGTTTATGTGCATTAGATAGGTTTAATGAAATTAATCAGCCTCTCCAGAAATCTAAAACACAAGCCAAGTAGCATTTAAAAAGTTTAAAATAGGCAAACTAACATTTCTTTTGAATTTGTTGTAAACACCTATGTACTTGCTTCTCCTGCAAGTACTCCCACAGTAGTGGCCTACTCCAAAGCTTACTGACACTAAGAACTAGTCTTATCAATGACTTTAGCAGGTTTCGGAGCAGGATGTACAATGATAACAGTATATTAGATAAGTGTTTAATTATTAATACAATTTAAAAGTTGTAAAACTGTAAGAAGCTTTAACCTTAACATTTAAGGTTACAGTGTTTCACAAAGCAGCATAACACTCTATGAAAACAGTAACTGAAAACATGCACACCAGAACTGTATAAATGAGTTATCATGGTCTGAACTGTATAAATGAGTTATCATGGTCTGTGGTCAAAAGGTCTTTGCAGGTGAAGTGGCTTTGCAATTATTTTTCAGCTCAGTAAATCTTTACGTCATTTAAAATTGATATTAATATTTAACACAATGACTCTTCAAATATGTATTTTGGTTTTTTCCATGAAATGAGCACAGTAGTTATAAAACTACACAAGTTTTTGGCTTAAAATGTATTCCATGTATCTTTGACTAAAAAAACCTCATTAAATCAATTTAAGAAGAAAATTCACAAAAATTGCTTTCTAGCCTAAGCAAACATGCACTAAGTTCTAAGGTTGGTTGATATTAAAATTCCCTTTACAATTACAATGTATAATGCAGATCTTTGAACTCTCCTACCTACAGTTGCATGCATGATGCTGATATTGTTATAAGCCAGGCCAAGAATGCTTAACATAGCCTTACTGAAATAGCTAAATCAAACATCAAAACAGCGAAAGGAAGCAGCTTAATGTTAAGACAGAGCTAACAATTACTAGTTGCTAATCACAAGAGTGCTGTGTTCTGTTCAGGGTGATTATTTGCAGTTATCTCTCTAATTAACCCAAAATGATCTAGTCTTGTCGTCCACAGGAGCGTGATTGCTTAGCCTCATAAACTGCATTAATGCAGAAGTGCTTTATAGAGGATGGGCTTACACTGAAGCCCTGGTCTTTATGAAGGCAGAGAAGAATTAGTGTTGAGCTAATAGGAAAGCATGAGCTGTAATCTCAGGTCTTAAAGTGGCTGCCTGCACAACTATTACCTGCAGCTGAGGAAAAGGCAGCATGTTGAATGGAAAAGTCCCATGGCCTGGAAGCGATGAGCAGGCAACCATCTGGACCCACTCTACTGAAACAAGCAACTAGATGGTTAGTTCAGTAAATGCTTAGGCATTAAATCCTTAAGACTTTAAAATAAAGCCCATTGCGAGGTAGAGAGAGCTTGGTGCTTCCAAAAACGCACAGTTCAGGCCTCTCCCGCTGCTAATATACATGAGCTCTGGTCCTGCAGAACATCTTTTGCTGTGCCCAGGATGGGAGCACTGCACCACAGAACTGCCTCCGTCCCAGCTACGTGCTGGGAACGGGAGGTATTGGTGCAGATCTAAGTGATGAAAATCTACCCTCTAAAGCTATCTTCATATTACAGCGTAGCTGCACTCACTGGTATGCAAATGCAAGCAGAGTGCAGATTGGGAACTCACAGTGGTTTTTGATCACTGCTTTGTTTTAAGGATCCACAAAGTGCGATACCCAAAGGAACAATGCTGGCCATTCTGATTACAACTGTTGCTTATATAGCAGTTGCAATATGTGCAGGTAAGTAGTGATCATGTTTTATGTCTTAATTAATACAGTTAAAATGTTTTAAAGCCTGGTATACAGACAAATGATTGTTAAATTCATCATTTTTTCATCCTGTGGATTTATTAAGTAGTGAGATAGTTGTTTTAATTTTATTTTTTAAAAAGGAAAAAAAGATAAACAGATCAACAGAAGGAGAGAGTCCCTATTTGGAATTTGCCCTGCTTGAGCTTACATATGAGTATAAGACGAATTTTGTAACAACTTGTATAACTTGTAACAACTTGTACAAATGCAAAACAACTTTTGCATTTGATTCAATGACAAAGACCACTAGCATACAGTATCCAGGAGCATAGTAAATATTAAAGGAACCTTAGATCAATCTGCTGATCTTTTATTCCTGACTCACACTGAAATTTCACATGGCTTCTACTTGCTCTTCACTAGTCTTACTGAGCACTTGTGAACGATGGGGTAACGTACGTGTTTTGTATGTCATACGTCAAAGACAGAAGTCAGTTACCCCTCTGGAAGAAGGGGTACTTCACAAGTTGCTCTACAATATCAGAATGTGAGGTAACAAAATGGACACAAGAGCATAAAAAGGAGATCTGTACTGAAGCCGTATCTGTGTTGGAGGAACATGCAGTTCATTCTCATTACAAGGGTACAGTAAACCTCTGTTCAAGAAATAAAGATTTTTCTTTTTCTGTGTTGATAACGCTGCAAGAAAGAGAGCTGCAAATAGCACTCTTCCTTATGAGCAAACACCTCACTCGGTACACTATGTCCTCGGGGTACTCCATTTTATAGGAAACGAATCTCAAGTCTTCTTGACTTCTGTGGTCTCTGTACTCTATGCAAAAGGCAGAGTGCTCAAGTCAAATTTCAGCTCAGGTTATTGCATTATTTGGATCTAAATTTCCCCCGCAGTTTCAGTTGAAGTAGTCATTCTTCACTTCCTATTCTAAACCTGTGTTAATGTGTTGTTCTGTTCTCATAAGCAATAGCTATATTTCAGCCTCAGAGCTGGCTGCTTTCCAGCGCAGAAACTTTTTTTTCTGTTTGCGTATTGGTTTGCTAAACAGATAATGGTTACTTTGGGTTACTCTCAATAACGATGTTTTTGACACGTTTGAAAATATCATATAAACTTACATTTTGGCTGCCAAAGATGTTGAGATCAGCACTCTGAAAGTTAACTCCATATGTTTCTTCCCATTTCTGGTGACAAACAAAAAAAGATAGCATAAATATTAATAATAACAATGAAAAAACTATCAGTAATTTCTCCTGCTGA